CACCCTCAGGGAGCCAGAATAAAGCTGGAATGGGACACGTCTTTAAAAAGACTGTGCTGAATCACATGCCCTGCTGTTGAGCTTCTTTTCCGTGGCACCTTTAATGTACGGGTTAATTCTGAGATGGATTCTGTTGGGATCGAGGGGAAGAGGGAAATGGCCCTCTGAGACTGAAATCCACTTATTCAATGAGAATTAAAAACAGGAATTGTTAAGAGTGCTTTTTAAAAATCTAAGCTAGCTGGACTCTTGGCTGCTTCTGCAAGACCCACGGTCCCTCTGACTGTCATTCTGCCTCTGCAAGGAAGGGCAGCGTGCCCAGCAAAAGGAGAAGAAGAAATGGGAGTTTCTGAATGCTGGACTCTCACATTTCCTCTAATAGCACTGCCTGCTCTCCCCATTAAAGGTGGAATTGGCCATAGAGGTGAGCCGAGAGCTGGATGCAGCATATTGCTGAGGGCACAGCTTTGATTTTTCTGCTGGTGCAAGGATTCCCTGCTCCCTCACTCCCAAGAAGGCGAGCCAGAGTTTGACCACGGGAAATTAGCTCAGTGCTGAGCCAGAGTTCACATGTGCCCCACTCCCAAGGGGGCTGCCAACCCAGCGTCCGGAGTCTGCCTTCCAGTGATGCCGACGGAGGTGATGCCCCTGTTTGGCTGCAATGCCAGAAGGTACTTCTCAAAGGAGGCTGAAGGATGGCGGGCGAGAGAGGGACAGACACTCCAAAGCCCCTCCATGAAGGCCTTTCACTGGTGGCACTTGACGCTTTTCCCCGAGCTTCGTTACAAAGGGAGCAGAGACAGTGACGTGCCTATCTTTTAACCCTTAGCAGCCACTCCTCTTCTGAGCGTGCCATTTCCCCCATGCCTTGCAAATGAAGAATAACCCTGGATTAGGATGATCTGGGCTTGGGATGCGAACTGAAGAACTGGTTTTATTTGGTATGATTTGGATGTGAAAGTAAAGGAGTGGCTTTGCCTTCTGTGAGAGTTAAACGAATCCTAGTCACTGTCTCTAATGCAGGCGTGTGTACATGCAAAGGACCCTATGGAAATGGAATATAGATTGGTGCCCCATGGGCACATGGGTACAGCCGGGGAGCCCCACCTAAGCACGCTACACCTCTGCACCCCCCGGGTCTCAGAAACTGAATTCCACCAGGACTCCCACAGCCGTTCGTGGGCCGGGTGCCTGCTGGGACGGGAAGCGTTCGTGAAAGGAGACGGGGCATTTTGGGGCCAGGGTGTGGTCCTAGGCAGAACTGCCGGCTGCCTGGCCAGGGATCGTCCGGCGCAGCAGGAGTGGAGGCAGGCATGACACACCTGGGCAATGCCTGCCCCAGGCCTCCCTGTGGAGCAGAGCTATTATTCTGCCTGTGAACGAAAGCACCGGCAAGCAAGCAGGAGAATTCGCTGAGCGTGCTTCTTCAGCAACTGGGCAGTGTCTCCCATGGGGGGAACATATAAATAGCCTACACGAAACAGAGTTCTGCCTTTTCTCTAAATATAGCCCTTCTCCTGAGAGAGACCTTTTCTTCCAGCTAGCCCAGAGGTCCAGACTGGTCCCCAAACCACCATTAATCCACAAGCTCACACGGTCCACAGAAAAGCTGCAAGACGTTGAGTATATATCTGTGGCTGGCCATGCATGCATTCATTCGTCCATTCATTTTTATTTAAAGTTTTTAATACGCTGTCCCATTACTAAAAGCCTCTGGATGGCTTACGAATTTCTCTTTGGGAGTCCCAGTGTCCCTGGCCGCTGCATCCAGCCCTCCTGCGAGCCCTAGGAGAAAGGGGTGCTGAAGGCGCATTTTGATCCACCCAGGAGGTGCACAGAGGGAAAGGGGCCTTTGCTTAAGGTGTGGGGGGGGGCAGTAAAGCTGGGAAGAGCATCTAAAGCTGGCCTGAGCTGCTGGCTCCCCAGAGCGATGCAGGCCGGCCAAGGGTGTGCCATCCCCACCAGCCCCAGCCTGAATGAGGCTGCAGCTGCAAACAATGACACCCCCCCCCAAAGCTGCTCCACCCCACCTTAAAAGCACCCGCAGGCTCCACTGGGGAGTGCCAGTGGCTGGGGGACGGAAGAGCAGAAGACCTTCCTCACACGTCCCCAAGGCTCCGCCTGCTCCGCAGCGGCAAAAGTCCAGCTCTGCCCTAGGATCCCACAGCCCTAATCCCAGAAACGTGCCCGGGGGGGGGGGGGGGATTGTGAGGCTGTGATGTCCCACTCCTGCCTGCTCTCTACAGAATTGAAGACGGAAGCCGACTCATTATTCTCACTATTTTAAGCACAGCTGGATGCAAAACGGGTCTCCTGCTGAAACACCTATTGTAGATAGAGGGGTGGCCCTCTTTGTCTCCAGACACACGGTTTCTCTTACTGAGCACCCGGAAAGTCTCCCTCTGCTTGGCTCCGTTCGAACTGAGAGCATCGCAACCCTCGTTGTTCCCTATGGGGATACCAAACAATCTGAGATGTGTCTACCCAGCTGTAAAACCCACTGAATTCAGTGGGGCTGGCACATAGGTCTTTGTGGGTGGATTGGACCCTCAGCCCTGAACTGCCGCTGAGGAACACACCTGGTATCCCAGACGTGTGAGAAGCATCCTGGAAAGAAAGCGTGTCAGAAAACCCACTAAAGTGCAGCACCAGGTTGCTTCCATTTTGTATCCATAACTCCAGAGTCAACCCCAGTGCAGGCCGTGGGCCTTCAATGACTTCAGTCTGTGACAGCTTCCCGGCACAAGAAAATGCTGCTTTAATTGCCTTAGCAAACTGGACAATGTAAACCCGCAGGTGAATTCAGCGTTAAAATAAACAGAGGTACATCTTTTTGATTGCCTCTAAATGACAGAAGGCACACCTGCACGTATAATAAAGGCAAAAACAATAGCAGCCGCTCGCAAAATGTTGGTTTACCTATGAAATGGGTGGCTAATACTTGTGCCTGGGGCAAATGACTCCAATGCCAGAGCTGGCATTTACGCAGGTGAACAAGCTCCTAAGTGGCCCACGGACTTGGTCATGTGTGGCATGGAAAAATCTTCTCTAGGCAGCCAGACAGGGCTGTTTAACAGTGTGGGTATGCCCAATCCATCCCTTGCAGGCCACAGAAATATTTGCAGATGGTTTTGTGGACTAGTAATTCAGTGGACTTTCTATAGGGCCGAAGCATAGTAAAAAAGAACCAGAAATAAAGCACCAAGGACTGAAAAGATTCTATCCGCAACCCCAGACCTCCAGCCTCCGACATGCGTGCTTTGGATCAAACCAACAGCTGTACTTCTTTAAAATGACCGATTCAGAAACAGGCACGATGCTTTCCTCCGCACGTATGTGCTTCCTTGGAATCCCCCACATATATTTCTTTCCTTGGAGTCCACACGATTTTTTCAAGGATCCGTTTGGCTCTTTCCATTAGGATGCACAGATGTCAACCCCTCCCCACCATTTCTGCCCCCAAAGCAGCTTAATCAAATGGATCGAATCTCTCCCCCTTCCGCCCATCCTCTGTCTCATACCATAATTCATCTCGGGTATGAAGTTCTTGGATGGGTTTCCCTTTTTATTTTTCATTATTGTTATTGTTTTGCCAACATAAATGCAAAGACTAGAACCCGATCTTAAGGGACCACTCAAGGGTCAAAGCCCAGAAGGATGAGGGTTCTCATTACGCTTTAATGTAATTGCCTGTGCGCATTTCAGGATGATGTGAAAATCGCGGAGTGAGACCCGCATCCTGCACATTTTCTCCTGCATGTTAAACCATCACAAAGGTGTGTGTGCTTTACTACAAGAGACATTCATTTGGGTTTGACAGGTTGGTTATTTTGGAAATAAATTCTCTCTCTCTCTCTCACACACACACACCCTTTGCCATAGCACAGACTAGAAAGACTATGTAATATAACGAGACTAAAAAGATCAGCACTCTGGCACCTTCGAAGGAAGACAGGCCTGATCCATGAGTTACTGCATTTATTTGGCTAAGGCCTAAGCAAAGGTCCTTGTGGGCAGACTGGGTTGCAGAATCAAGTCACAAGACAATTCCAGGATTTGGGAGATGAGATTCTTGGAGTCCAGCCGAGGGACTGAAGCTTCCCACTTGGCTGATGTGTGGAAAAGCAAACCTTGGGAAAGCTGTCGCCAGCCCATTTCCCACATTTTGACACTCACTCCACTTTGGGAAAATTAGCTCACCACGCCAAAGTTCATCTTTGATGACACTGCAAAATATCCGTGGCAGGCTCCCCAGAGGCCAGCTTGGCTCACGAGCCTTTTCCCAGCGCAAATCTAACGGCTAACCCTTTGCTGTTCGAAGAACTGAGAGTCGAAGACAAAATCTCTCTCCCACCCGCCATCTGTCCCTGGTTCATTGGACATTTCATTAAATTTACGATGCTACATGCACATTACTGTCTCCAGCTTCCCCAGGATGCTTTCCTTTGTCTCTTAAATTCACGCTGTGGAAATTTAATCTACAGAAAATACAAACCAGCCCGCGCGGCAGAAAGTTTATCACACTAGGTGCAGAAATGCAGCTATTTCCCCCAGCCCTAAATGCGTATTCACTGCTGAGCCTTTTCCGAGACCAACCTGAAACAAACCACCAGCCAGCTAAACACACCCAACTGGAACTCTCGCAGCGTGGAATCGAGTGTGGGTATTCAGATGTACTAGGTCTCGTGGCGGGTGGGGGGAGTAACGCGGCCACCTACAGCCCCGCTTGCAATCTAGAGAGACCCCAAAGCTCTTTCGCTGTCTTCCTGAAGCGTCCTTCCACCATATCTTAGCTACAGGCACTGCGGAACCTCGGCCCCCCGATCGGATCCCGGGACTTCGCGGTCTCTCTCTCGCCTCCTCCACCGCTGTGCCTCCCTAGCCCTGGTCCCTGCCTTCTCTTGGCCAGCATCTCTCCTGCGCTGGGTAGGCGAAAAGTAGGAGCGGACACCCCAGACACGAGCAGCGAAGAGAGGGGTGACAAGAGGACCGTCTCTTACCAGAAGTAGAGGACGCTTCACGCCAGAGCTGCCGAGGATTCGCGTCTTCCTTCGCCCACTCTTTCTCGCTTCTTGGCCGCCGCGATGTTGCAGCCCGGGGGGATTAGGCGAAGCGAGCGGCCTGGCCAGCCAAGCGGATCATTCTGCTGGGAACAAGCATCCAGGTGAGGGGAGCTCAGCCGCGAGAGAGCCCATCAGCGGGAGCAGGACGGAGGGAGACTGCCTCTTGCACGCACAAGCACGCACACCCCTACAACAAAGCTGGGGGGGGGGGGGGGGGGGTGCCAAACAGATGGGAGGGGGGAGGGAGGGGCCGCGAGCACAACAGATGTGTTGACTTTAACTTATCCAGGAAATGGATGGTGCTCAGCATGGGGCGGGGGGGTGGCGGGGGAGGCAGGAGGCAATGTTAAACGGCGAGGGCGCGCCGGTGCCCCGGCGTCACTGGCCCCTTCGCCTCCCGCGCTCCAGCATGAAAAAGCCGCAACTGCACGGGCAAACTCCTTGCTCGGGAGGAAGCGCCGCGCCGGGGGACCTCCCGCAGCCCCTCTCCAGGTGGGCAGCCTGAGCCCGGTCTGGGGCAGGGTTTCAGCAGGTGGGGGCACAGGCAGCCGGGAGGGGTCGCGCCAGACGCTCTGGCGCACCTCCCCGGCCACACCCGGCGATGGCGGGGCCCAAGCGCCGCTGCACGGGGCTGAAGCGCCCGAAGGCGGAGGGCTTGGTACCCCGTTCTCCCCCTGCCTGAGCTGCCTCCTCCCCTTCAGGAGGGACGGACCTTGGGGCTCCGGACAGTCTGCCCTGCAACGTCGGAGTCCGCTCCCCTCCAGGCGGATGGGGCCGATGCCCAGACCCCAGGCCCGGCTCCCGCAGGTCTCCCAGCGCCAGAGGCGGGTGGAGCGAGAGCCCGCTTGAGGCGAAACCGGTTACGGATCTGCCTGACCAGGCACAGAACCGGCTGGAGCGCAGTGCCCGCTTTCCCCTGCCCTGTCGTTGCAAAACGCTCTGGGCAATCCGTGGCCCTGGTTTTCTCTCTGCGGGAAACAGAGGCAGCCTCTTTGGCACCAGCAAAGATGGGAACGCGCATCGGCATGACACGAGCGCTGTGCTGATTTGCCTAAGCAGAAACGCACGTTTAGCCATAACGGCTGCAATGACAACTGTACAACTTCCCAGAGAGCTTCGGATGTGGGGCACTGTGGAAATGCAATAATTAATTCAACACAGTGAGCCCAGCTACAGCCAGAGCTGTGCCCCTTCCCAGCTATTGCAGTCCAGCTGTTGGTGGGCAACTTCCTGGCTACTACAGCTCTCCCTTCTTGTGGTTCCTTATCTTCAGAATGAACCAGGACTAGATAACCCATCAAAAAAGGATTCAAGTCCTCTAATACAAGTCCTTTACTTAGAGAACTGTCCTCTGTAAAGTCAAACACACGGCCACCCTGTGGGAAATACCTCCATTTCCATTTCAGCCCAATATCTGGGGATTTCCTCCCCATGTCAGAGGAATCGGGAGTAAATCTAGGCTCCAGACCATTCCCACTGACTGTCAGAAGCCCCTTTAAACCTTACTGTTACCTGGTGATACTCAAGGGCCCCCATACTTCAGGGAGAGGTGGGCAAGGTACTTTTCTGGGAAGAGTAATGCTCTTCTCGTCCACTTTGGTCCTCTTTATATTGCTCCAGCAAGCAGTGAGCCTTAAGTAGGAGGCTGGCTTGAGTTAGATGGGAAGGGACCGAGTCTGCTTGAGCAATCAGACTTGGGTAGTGGGTTTGGACAGTTCGCATCTTCATAGCTGAGTCTCCACAGCTGCACAGGGTAATGCAACCTGCCCTGGATGCAGGAAGCCTTCTGCAGAGACTCGATTCTGAGAAGCTGGAAGCCTTTTGCAAGCAACGCCTCCTCCTGAACCACCGAGTCAGAAGCCTCTGAGGAAACATCTCTGTAAGCCTTGAACAGCTTGGCTGGCATCCTGATCCTGTTTGTGTGAAACCTCCAGAGAACACACAATGCCAAACCCAGCATCTCTGAGTGTGGAATCGGGGTTTATTTGGGGGGGTGGGCCTTGAATCCTTGCAGCATTGCTTTCCTTCACCCTTTCTCCAGATGGCTGTTCTTTTTACCAACCACCCACATGTTTTTACACAAACATCCCTCTGGACCAGACCAATACTTCCATCCAGGAAGCTGCCAATGGCCCATCCCTGCCCGTTTTGCCCTCTGGGAGAAGTTTTGGGATGCATCCATAAAATGTGGCATAACAAAATAATCTGGCAGGTTTATGTTGCTGGGGGGCCTGAGGAGCTGTCTGTCAGGAAGGAAGTCCCGCCTCCATGACAGAACTGGGGGCAGGGGTGAGGTTAGCAGCCTCACCAGGAGCTGGAACTTGTCAGTTAAGAGCAGGAATTTAGCCTGAGAAAAAGAGAAAGGGGTGGATCAGATCTATGACTCCCTGTTGCAAACATGCGTAGTTGTCCTTCTAGATACCCCAATTTTGAGTTTGTTTAGGGAGAAAAAGGTGTTTCCCAGCCAGCCATTGAAGTCAGCGAAGGATTGTGCCCCAAGCCCGTTTTGAATATTGAATAAGTCCTGTGGTGTGTGATTTTAGAACTCCCTTCCTCACAAAGGAGAGTGCCTGCGAAACTCGTTGCAGTTCATTTTTTAGCAGAATTAGCCCAGCCTGCACTTCCTGAACCCCAAAGGATGGATTTGCATCAATCTGCAAAGAGAATGGGCATTTCCACCCTTGCACTGCGTTTTGTACCCCTTTCCAAACAAACAAAAAAGAGAGAGCGAGAGAGATTTTGACTACACATGTACATTTGAGAATTGCATGCGAAAAAATGCATACATTTGACAAATTCACAAAAGATGCTTTAATCAGTGGGAAAAGAATAACCAAAGCAGGCTTTTGGAGCAGTTTGGTGTGCATTTTCATTCTAAAGATCGTAATCTGACATGGACCCGATTCAGAACTGCTCTTCAAGACGGGACTTGAAGACACATTCTGCTGATTTGCCCAGACTTCCATGGGATGCATTATCCCTGGTTCGACTTGTTGTGTTCAGATGTACACCAGTTCATGGTGCTCACTGATATTAGCACACCTTTCTCCCTCCTGTAGATCTCCCAAAACTGAATATTATGTCTCTGGTCCATGCACATGTGAAATGTACATTATGTGAACAGTAAGACTAGGAGCACTTAAAGAATTTGATATTTTCCCTGCCTGTAGACTTTTCTGATCCAATGATCCCAAACCATTACTGAATTATGGGAAAAAAGAGGTAGTAGAAGATGCTTAACAACAGACTAATAATTTATTCTATATGTAATATAGAAATACGATTGCGGGAATAAAAGAAGTATTGTGAATTAAACAAAATGTGTCATGTTCTTGTTTTGGGATTGCTCGCTTCAAGATTTCCAAGCCCATTCTTGGAACTGCATTTGATTTTTTTTGGCTAAAATCTATTGTTAATCTACTAAAATTGCTTTTCAAGACTTTTAAAATGCTTAGTACAGAAATGGAATAGAACAACAGGTCAAACCCTAACACAGATGGGTCGGTCCATCCATAATTAGGCCCTGGGCCACACAGACCCATCCAAGAATTCGTATTGTTCTAGAAAATGTAATGGGCTTAACAGGAAGAGAAATTGCTCTCTTTGTTTTGAGATTAGTGGAGGACCACCGTGAGGGTTCGTGCGGCAGGGAGAAGGACCAGCTGAACCTTCGCAAGGCAGAAGGGAGGAATGGGGCCAAGGGGTCTGATCCGCAGTGGGAGAACCGGAACGTGTTACAAGTATGCCTGGAGGTCCCCACTGCCCTCCAGTCTGCCGCTTGGCCTGCCTCGCCTCTGCCCCGGGGTGGAAGAGGCACGGAAGAAGCCACGGGGAAAGAGCTCCCTGGATCTTTCCAAGCAAGCAGGAAGCGTCCATGGAGGGTGCCCGCTGCAGGACGTGGGGGCAGCAGGGGTGTCCAGTGCTGCCACGAGCCCCCACCTGCCCCTCCGGCTGCTTGGCCGGGGCCTCCCACCTGCCAGGGTTCCATTTCCAGACACCCGCCTCCCCCAGGCCAGCCTGCAGCACGTGGGCTGGCGTGGTGAGGAGTTTAAGGGCCTAATCCCTCAAGCTTGATAATTCAGTGAAAGAGGATTAGCGCCCCCGCGCACGGCCCTCACCTAAATATAGACTGGCACTGCTGCTTCATTTTCTCTCTTCGAGGCCAGAGAGTTTCCAGCGGGCGCAGTTGCCTGTGTGCCGCTTCCCCTCCTTGTTCTCGGCCGCTTCTAAATCCGAGCCCAGATGTGACCTGTGGGATCGGCCCTCCCGGTGCAAGTTCCTCTGCCCTTTGGCAACGCAGAGTATTTTAAGCCAAGAGTTCAGCCAAAGCACAAAGGAAAAGAGGGGTGAGCTTGCAACTCCCCGTATGAATCCCCATTAAGAACCGTCTTGCATGCCTGCTGCCCGGAAGGGAGGGACCTGGGGCAACGGGCAGTGGAGAGCAGGACGCGCTGCAGTGGAGCCAAGCGCAGGCAGCCAAGATTTAGGGTGGATGCCAGGAAGCACTCCCTGACAGTCAGGACCCCGAGGGAGTGGAATGGGCTTCCCCGGGAGGTGGTTGAGGCCCCATCGGTGAGGGTGTTCAAGGACAGGCTGGACGTGCACATGGTGGGCATGTTGTGAGCGGAGCCGGCTAGAGACTAGATGGTCCAGGAGGCCCCTTGTGACTCGCTCTGTTTCTGTGTCTCCATGCTTCAGGACCGAGGGGAGACGCCCACCTTTCCCACCTCCCATCCATCTTACCTGCCACAAGGCTCCCCAAGCTCTGGCACATGGGCCCTTGTAGGGGGCAGCGACAGGCCCCTCCACCTCCCACCTGCCTCAGAACCCCTGAGCCTAACCCTTCCCCAACCCAGACGTGGTGGGCCACAACCCCCATCACTCCCAGCCAGCCAGCATGACAAATAAGAACCACCAGGACGCTACCAAAATTCTCTGAGCTTGCACTTAAAAGCTTTACAAGCCCCCTGCATGTTTTTCTGGATGAGTTTCACTGCAGCAGCTCTTGGGAAAACTGCAAAGAGAAAGGGCATTGCATGTTGGAGTCTCTGCCCTGCCCACAAAGCCCATGCCTGAGGCCAGAGCTGAGCTTCCAGCCTCTCCTGTGGCCAGCTAGACTCTGCTCCATAGCCATGCAATCGTGCCCCATGGC